GAGTTGGTCGACTGGGCGTCCCTTCATATTGGCGGGGATCGAACTGAGATGTTTGGAAAGAATAGAGATTTGTGACAAGTTGATCTGCTCGTTAGAATTTGCTTGTCAAATGGTTAATGCCAAAGGCAAAAGGTCGAATAGAATATGATCGAACGGAATAGATCAAAGTTTAAGAGGCGGGCCGTTTCAACCGAACTGCCGGGGACTTCGACTCCGACGCAACCAAGCGTAAAGTTTCGTACGAAGGAGGGGGATATTGGCGTTTTGATGCGTCGGTCAAGAAGATTTGTAGTAAGGTACGTAGATAGAGAGTAGAAAGGGTTAGGTAGGTAGTCAGTTAGGCGAGTAGATGTTGTGGGTATGTGAGTGAGGTGGTGTGGTGTGAACTGTGGAGAGACGAGGAGCCCAAGGCGAGAGTGGGAAGAACGAGGGGGAAAAAGTCGTGTCCCAGAGATAGTGTCAACTTCAAGTCTACGCCGCCCAAGGGCCGAGGGGCTGAGGTGAGGGAAAAATGTATGTGAATAATTGGTAAGGCTTCGGTTTTGTATAATGTCAGACGTTTGAATCCAGAAGGTACAGGTAGAAGAATGGATAAAAGGGTTTCCCAAGTCAACCTCTGTAAGAGAAGAAAAAAGTTGATCAAGGTGGCTTTGTCTTGGTGGCTATCCCCGGAGATACTATGTACGATTCTGCGATTTTGTTACGGGAGTAGGGATATTTGCATGTGTCGCAGGGTATTGCAAGGTACTAGTTTTGGGTGAAGACGAGTGGGTGTGTGTAAGCCAATAGGTGCATTAGGTGCTATACATAGCAGGCAGGATGGACAACTGGGATGGGCTGGACGGGCTTGGAATGGGTGTGGGCAGTAAATAGGAAGGCGTACGATAGCCGAGTCCTAATTAGGAGTTTTTTGAGCTAGTACCTTATCCAACAAGGGTACCTACCGTCCTAAAGTAAAACGAGACTACACAGGTTCACAGGGAAAATGAGAAAGGGAACCGCCCAATCAGATGCCGATAAGTACATGCGTTGTTGCAAGGGTGGCTGCGGTCCAGAAGAGTGATGCTTACAGGGATTCTCCATTGGACCCAGGTGTTACCTTCTCATTGAAAGTACTCAATATCTACCCACAATTTTGTAGTGAATTATATCTATCGTGATTGTAGACGGTAGGTATATACGAATACGTATACGTTTCAATACCAGGTAATGTTCCATCTATCATCATACAGGTACTAAGGTATGCAAAGGAAAGTCTCCTTCTATCTAGAATCGTTGTTAGAGAGGTGGCCATTCGTACGTACACCTACCCGCGCTTTAAAAGGTCAAGTTCTTATTTAGGTTAGACAACATGATACCGTTATGCCTGGTATGCACTGGACATGCACTGCCCAGGTAAATACATATGTACTTATGTATGTACGTAAGCATCTAACCACCTGCACCGACAGGTAGAAACGTGACGCCCACGCAACGCCTCGTCCCGCCTTGGTTCTTTTCGTAGTTACATAAACCCTATCACTTCCACGAATTTTCTTACTTCGGCCGAGTGAGATCGGGGGAGAAGGCTTTGAGCCGCAAAACTCCCACTACCCATGATAGAGAAAGCTGACTCCTGATAAATGGCCGCATCCAACAAGATAATGTAATGAATGTATGCGGCAATTCCTTCGTGCCGAAAGAACATGGCATGGATCCATTGCATATGTTAGATTGGTTTATATACATAAGGTAACAATGTTGCATATTATAGTACGACAGTTTCCTACCCGATGTGACGGACCCTGAATTTTCGTTCCCCGCGCCCGCGCCCGCCCTCCGACCAAGGCCCCTCCCTCCGTCTGCATCCATGCGTCCGAAGTACCACCTTTTTAAGCTTCCCAGATTAATAAAGTCTCGTTTCCACTGCTACATTGGGTATATAACCAACCCTATCTTCGCTAAACGCCGATCTTTTTTTTTTCTTCCTTTTCTCGTTTCCGTCTCATAAGCGCATTTAATCGGCCAAAACTTCAAATATCAGGTGTGTACAAATTCGAGTATTGCACAACTATTACGGCACCGAATGAGGTAGGTACCCGCAAACAAGGGAGGCTTGATGGAAGGAGTGATTGATTACTGTGTCCAAACCCGAAGTCTGAACTACAATAGACACGTGCCATTTTTCTCTTCTGTGAAACCAGGATTATTTATTAGAATTCATTGGAATGAGAAGGAAGCTACTGTGATGCGTCAGCGTTGTTCCTATAGTCCTCATTCCTTCCTTTCCCAGGAGTTAGTGGATTTCATAATATTAGAAGCTACATGTGATCATCATACAAACTGCGTTTATATAATCTTGCTTTTTAATCTCAACTATTTGTACATGGTAAACTTCAACGCCATGCTTCGATCCAAAAGATTTTATATACGTCTCTTGTATGTAAGTAGGGATTATTCAAACCCAGAAACTGCTTCAAACTTCTCATCATAGTCCGCATAGTACCATATCATTCGAGTGCGTTAATGCTTTGTATAGACCATCATAACTTGAGCCACTTCATCGGATCGCCCAACTGCTTAGTCTTCGCGCACTGCTGCGCGAAAAGCTCTTCGCACTTGATTGCTGTTCACCTCAGCTAGCGAGCGTTTCATAACGGGTGAATCGGCATGAAGGGCTGCGATCCACTTCGGATCAAACGGGTTGAGCGCCTTTCCGAGATCTTTCCATACCCATATATGGACCTCGATCTCACCATTGACTAGGTCTATATCCATATAACTATCCGTACAACAGAACTGACAGTTAAAAGTATCGTCGCGAGGCCCATATACGCTCTGCCACTTGGTCGATTTCTTTTCGTAGAGTCCTGAAGGGTCGCGCCGCTTCGTTACATATGCCATGCCCGCTTTTAAATCCCCTCGTGTCTCTCGGAACTCATACGCTTGAAAGCGTTGGCGGTAGTGCGGACAAGTCCTAAATGTCCAATCATTCGGAGAAAGTTCTGGTATGCCAAAATCATATCCAAGTTTAGACAGCCATTTCTTCGGTGCGATAGTAAATCGGATCGCTTGCAGAAGATAAAAAGAGTCTTTATGCCAGCAAGGGTAGGTCCAGTATTCAAGTTTTTGGGAGTTTCCGTGACATGCCAAGGCCTCGGTTCTTGCTCTTTGAGTCTCAATTGACGGTGCCGCTTGAACCCAGTGAATATGATAGTATGCCAGAGTATAGCGGATCGAAGGATGAATATAATCGAGCGGGTCAACGGTGGAGTGCTCCACAGGCAATGAAGACCATACCAAATCGTCGTTCTGGGTCATATCGTGTTGGAGTATATCTCTTCTAGGTGACCCGGGTCTCCTTAGGGTAAAGTTCCAAGTCTTCCTGTCAGTTGGACTGATTTCTTTATATGCAATCTGGAGTCCGCGCGGGTTATGTCGAAAGCATCCCTCGGAAGGCCCGAAGACGCAAGGGTAGTTACCAGCCCAACCTCGACAGCTTTCATGCTCGACATAGGAAAATACCTGATCTGAGGACGAAGCCGTCTCGCCGCCCCTCTTGGAATTTGTGCCCTCTGGGTTAATCGCATCATGTTGTCGCCTTGACTTGAAAGCCTTCAGGAGTCTCTTACATGTTTGAGCCATCCTGGATGAATCTATTGGTATAAAACTTATCGAAAAAGTCTAAGCTATTCGACCCGGGTTTAGAATGATGGGTTAATGCAACAAGTTATCATTGTATATGTGGTTTTTGAGAGTGAGAACGATGTGTAAGAGGAAATCAGGAAAGCACGTTCACTGGACGACATAATAAACATACCTTTCAATCTTTACGCCAAAGCTCACACATACACTCGGCTCCAACTATATATTCGCTATGGCCCAGCTATTCCCTTCCTTCGCCGTAAACGAGCGTTTCTCAAGTACCATACCAAATTATCGAAATCCTGTAGCTTCAGGAAGCTTTGATGAGAGAATTCCAAACCACACACTAGCATCATCATTGCACCCCAGAAGTTTTGCGAATTCCATTAAACGTCAAAGCTCTAAACTACCGTTTTATTATTGGCGTACCTGACTATAAAATGTAAGGTGGCAAATATAAACAAACCCTTGCTGAGTCCCTTGAAATTTGACAAGAAGTTAGGCTAACTAAGCTTTTTGAGATTAGACGCGGTTGTCTTACGAAGCTTTACAGGAGTAACCTAAGCGTTCGCCTTACGGCCAAAGTTGAAACCGTCCCTGTGATTGAGAGACTGAAGGGGGGCTATGGTCGTCTGAGCCACCAAGTCTAAACCCTGTTGTGCTATTAAAACTTCTAGGTCAGCCCAGCCCTGAGATTTGAAATCGTGATAGATAGTTACAGATAGGGTGACGCCGGCTACTATCGTCATGGCCTTACTTATTACTGGAGCCTTGTCTATAAACAGAGACTGCGTATCCGTACCTTGCTGCATCCGCCGTATATATGTCATACTATAATACTACCATGTTAACGCTGGGTGTATGACATTGAGGATCAAAGATCGTGGTTTTAGAAGTATGAAGCCTCGTATCACCGCGATAGTAACGTTGATAGATTTACTCCCGCCCGAAGGCCTTGAACGCATGCAACTTATAGCGACATAACTGTTGCATGTTGAAGTTTCAGATTACCTCTTTCGAGAGGAGTAGAGCAAGAATAATTTTACTGCAATAAAAGTAGAGCATAGTATGTTACCTATCATATATTCTCCTCGGGGATGGCCATCTAGTGTAGCATCCCCGATCCCATTTACAGCGGAGGTATGCAACAGATATTCTCTAACATAGCTCAGTAAGAGGCAAGCCACATGCAGGGACGCACTTGACTATGTAAAACATTCCATCTTGAGGATATTTCTTAAATAAAATACTTAATTCTTTACTGTGTGCATAACACCCGTCGCCCACCAAGGTCCCGCCCAAGCCAGCTAGGGCGACGGACTCCACGCACAAACAAATATCAACAAACTTAGCAAGTAAATTTTTCACCAAGAAGCGCCCGGTTAGCTCAATCGGTAGAGCGTGAGACTCTTAATCTCAAGGTTGCGGGTATGCTATTCACTCGCCATCTGAGTTTATTCAAAATCATATATGCTAACATCACCTTCAAGGTTCGACCCCCGCATCGGGCTCAATTCCCGATGCTTCCTAGTACACTGGGATAAGCAACGATTTTTTTAACGGTTTAATGTACTGTAGTAATAGCTGCCTTTTTTTTTTTTTTTTTTTTTTTTCCCTTTGTATAAAAAGGGAAATGAATATTCTTATGCCAGCTTGTAGCCCTATGTTTTCATATGTTGCAAACCTAGGTACATATGTGTACATGTCACATTTCGTGGACCAGATACCTACCTACCTATATAGCTCGGAGAATCATAAATAGTGTTGACCGAGATCAAGTATTTCGTGAAAAAGATTTTGGCACACGACTCATTCCACAGCAGCTAAAAAAAGGAAAAGGAATATGCGGCCACTTAGAAACCCACTTTATTAGGTTTACCTCAAGACTGCCCATATGTATGGACTAATGCTGAGGCTTACATTAGGTAAGGGTTGTACCACCATGCTGGCAGCTGGAGAGCCTCACAGCTATCCCCGCTAGGGCAATTCATCGAAAATTTAATCCTGGACGGGCGAGAAGACCCATCCCATTGGAAGGTCATATGCAGCTAACGAGAAAACCGGTACTCTGGGGCCTTTGCGGGTTACGTACAAGAATTTTTAAGTTTAGGGGTCCAGAAGTCCGCGAATTAACCAAAGTTGCAACAAACCACCACTTCACAAAAACAGCCTCCAATTCCATATCGGCCCTTCGAAATTACGGCACCATAACGCAACCATGCTTCGCTGGTACGTAGGACGAATGTTACCTCGACATATATATATTCATCCCTTTTCTTATTGAGCCGGTATATCTTATATCAAATAGAAATCATGCTGATCCGGTCCGTCTCAGGTATCAACGAAAGCTCGCCTCAAGGCCGCTGTTGACGCAAGCCGTCACTACCGCTGTGCTATTCGCCGTCGGCGATATCACCGCGCAGCAGGTTGTCGAGAAGAAGGGTCTCGAGAAGCACGAGCTTGCTCGGACGGGTCGCATGTTCCTCTACGGTGGTGGTAGGTTTCAACTCGTCGTATTTTGTTAACCCAAATACTTCATATTCTGTCCCAAGACACGATAAAAATTCTCAACACCCAATATCATTATCTCACCTCACAAGCTTGTTTGTTCAACTTTTACCCCACATTACCCCCCAACCCCAACTGACCGCTTCCCAATTCCCTCACATGCCCCCCTTTTTCTTTTTTTACACCCCCTTTTTTTACCCCACAACGGCTGTATTTCCGCAGCAAGGAGAAAAGAAAAAGCGCACTAGCGGAAAAAAAAAAGTGTCAAAAGATTAAAATTAAAAAGCTAAAGCAAAAACAAAATGAGAACGAAAAATTAAACTCAGACGCTAACCTTCTTTTGCTCTCTAGCCGTCTTCGGCCCCGCCGCCACGACCTGGTACGGGATCCTGCAGCGGTCGATCCAGCTGCGCAACAAGCAGGCGGAGATGATCGCGCGCGTGGCGGCCGACCAGCTGCTGTTCGCGCCGACCTTCATCGGGGTGTTTTTGTCGAGCATGGCCGTCATGGAGGGCGGGTCCCCCAAGGAGAAGCTCGCCAAGAGCTACGTGCCTGCCCTCCAGACCAACTACCTCATCTGGCCCTTCGTCCAGATGGCTAACTTCACCTTCGTCCCCCTCCACCACCGCGTCCTCGTCGTCAACCTCGTTAGTATCGGCTGGAACTGCTACCTTAGCATGATCAACAGCAAGAAATGAACGCAATGACCACTTGGTGAGTTCCTCTCATCTACTCGAGGAGAGAGTGCTTTGGACTAGGGGCAATGTTTGGTGGTAATGGGGAATGTAATGGTGGTATCGTAGGATTCAAGTCTAGAGCTGAGGGGCTTATGATATATGTCTCTTGGGAATAAAAAAAAGGATTCAAAAGGGACTAGGGAAACTACGGTGAAAGACTGGGCGTTTGTGACCGAGCTTTCGTAGCTGTCGGTCTATAGAATAGTAGTCTTGCATGCCGTCATTGTTAGATGGACTTCCTTTTCTTTCAATCATTTATATAGTTGGGATATAAGTATATAGATCGGGTTAGGCCTAGAGCGAGAGTTTATTCCCATCGGGCAAGCATTTGCGTGGAATCCGTTTTGTTTTTTCGATGGAAGGATAACTAACACTCAACGGGATGAAAACTTTGGAATTTGAAGAAATATAAAACCAGGTTCTCCAATATATACTTTCGAATGAAATAAGAGTGACACGCTACCGGCGCCCCTTGAGTCGACCGGATCCAAAACCGCCCCATCCACCTAATCGTTCCGGGTATCCAAGCGATTGTGTTCGTACAAGAATTAGCATTACTTCGTGACGTGCGTCGAGATCATGCGGGTTGGGACCCCCCGCGGAATAGCCTGGCCAGCCCCATTAAGCCTCAGCTTACGAGAAAAGGAATTCCTTCAGGACAGGCGAGCCGGAGAACTCCGGATTCAACAGTATACAACTATTATTAACTACACGTTAATATTTCATGTTCCCCGGCAAGTTGGCTACTGGTAGGAAATAAACACGTTTGACCTACTTTAAGAAATACTGCAGACCCGCCCGGCGTCTCTCTAAGAACCTAGGCCGAAACTTGGATATCATGCTCTTGGGGGGTAGCTCAGGCACCGCCGCCTCGAAGTTGGGGAACGTGCGCACGAGGCGCCATCGGAAGTCGTCGAACTCTGAATACCGTTTTCGTATGTTCATATAGCTTCCCTATAATCCGAATTTTCGAAACATTAGTCCCGCACGTCTCCCGTCATCGCAATTCCTCTACCCTTTTCCGTATTTTTGGTTTTGCGGGGGGGGAGCTGGGAGGGGAAACTCACGTTTAGCGTTTCGACCCGAATATTCCAGACGACGAACGCGCCGATGTTGGTCGCGCTACCGTTTACGATGACGTAGTCGGTGATCTCGACGCTCTTGGCCCAGCAGGCGTTTCCCCGGTCGTCGAGGCTGTTGTTCTCGTTGTCGCGCAGCGTGATGCCGCCGGTGGGGAGGGATTCGACGGAGGCGGAGGATATTCCCCTCGCGTGGTGCGAGTGGTTGTTTATCCAGTACGGCGGGGATGTCACGGGCGAGATCACGGGCGCATCATCTTCTTCCTCTGCTTGGCGGTCCGGCGACGACGGTCCCGTGGTAGATGATGTAGGTTGTGGCGCATTCGAGGCGTTCGAGTCGGTCTCAGCATCTGTCTCGGTTGCGGGAGGCGAGGGAGGTGGGTTTGGGCGCAGCGTTGCTTGCGATAGGTTCTTGTGTACGATTCCGGTGGCCGCCGCGCCATTGGCACTCGGTGGTTGGGTCTCTACGATAGACGCCATTCGTCCCAATGCGCCAGCGCGCAAAGGCGGGAAATATGGCTCCGAAGTAGTGGATGTGGATGAGATCCGAGAGGGGGGTTTTATCGGAATACGAGAGATTGCGATCGTAGAGTTAGATGTTCGAATCGAGGGATGGATATGTAATCTAATCTAACTAACTAGACTTTTAATTCTTAATAAGAAATCGATTCGATAATACGGAACGGAACGGGTGTTTTCGACGATAGATACGTACAGTTGACAAAGGAATCCGATAGAATTGGATAAGATTCAAGGCCAAGAAGCTCCTAAAAGTTCTTTGAAGGTTTAAGGTTGCGCTAGGTTGAGAATTGGAAAAACTCAATTCGATTAAACATGAAGTCGTTACCCCTGCACCTGCTTCATTACGGCGCCGCCGTTCAATTGGTGTTGCAGGGATTTATCAACGTGGGGGAGAAGGAACAGCCCACGTCAACATTTCGGGGCTCGGCACGGACGATTATCAGGGGCTTAGTCTTGGTTGGGTTCTTCTTATCGATTATCTATGCTATGCTGTGCTACAACACCAAAGAGGTGCCCTTATCTGTCGTACGAAGCTGTGATAGGGCACCGATTCTAGAATCTTACATTCCAGGGTCCTTTTTGTTTATACTATGTATTGGAATTTGAGATTACCTAGCTAATGTTGGCCATATAGCCAACCGCAGATAGTATAAGCATTACGTTATTAGTATAATTTTTGAGTTTATATCTAGTTACCAAATCACCTACTTAGCTAGCTTTTATATAATTATAAGCTACCGAACTTGTTGTGCAATAAACATTGACCCATTGTCCTATAGCTACTAACTGTTGGGGACTATACCCAACGGTGAGAATGCCCACGCCCAACGCGGTCCAACGAAAGTGTGACCCAGCTACCCACGGGACGGGCTTATACGCCAGTTTCTTCACTGACCGAGTTGCGCAGTCTAGAGGATATTCGTGAAATATGAAATCTGGTGAGACCTCTAAGAAGAAACTCGCGACTCTCGAGAGCATAATCCATAAAAATAGTGTCTCCCAGACAAGCCCTAATTCTGTATCAGCTTGGTTATGAGATAAGCATTTATAATCAATGATGGGTATACTAGGTGTCGGATTTATCATCCCCAACAGAGATAGGCGCCATATCGTTAGAATAGGAATATAATAATGATGAGAGGGAAAAAAATGCGGCTAATTAATCCATATATCCCGTGCGTAGGTAGCTTGGTTTAGGGGTGGTGGATTGTAAGTAATTTAGTTAGCTGTATCCCCCCGTCCCGATAGAGGCACGATAGAGGCCCCAAGGAAAGTCGCATAGACGATTCTAGATAATTGGGCTGCGGTTGGTACATTACGGATTTTACCGGCCAACTTATAACTCCTAAACATTAATCATGAAACATAATTTTGGAGCTGGGGCACGAGTCTATCAAGTCAAATCTCTGCTTGCTGTTAGTAGGCGATATAGGTATTATCAACACGAAGTAATAGCCGTCCAAGATACTATATTAAGGAATAAGGGCCGCGAGTGATTACCTGCGATTGGAGATCCCGCATATTTGACTTGCTAGATTATTTTGTTAATTCTGACGGACATGCGAGAGTAAGAAACAAGCGCCAACAAACGAGTCTTCTTC